AGATGCTGTTACAGCATTGCTCGACGATGCCCCGCTTCTGCAGCTGGTACTCAGGTGGGAAGGGCAGCTCTTCCCCTCTGGCCTCACCCACTGGCAGGGGAGAAGGGTGAGGGTAAGCAGGGTGCCGGCCGCATGGCTTCTTCCGGCAGCCCCGGCGAGCACCGCTGTCCCCATTTCACAGAAGACACGGAGGTTCAGGGGGTGGTAACTGGCTCCGGGCACAGGCTGAGCAGTGTGGTAGTGGGGATTCATGGAGGCAGGCGGGGACAGAAGGACAATGAACCCCACCTCCCGGGGCCCTGTCTCCTGGGCTTGTTCTCACAGCGGAGGAGTGATGCCTGCAGGGAGAGGACAGGAAATCTGGGGGCTTTTAAGCAAGATTTCTATAAGGGGGATGGACCAGAAATGCCATTAGGCAGCTTTGGGAGAGCTTTCCCCTCTGTCACCCTGGGGGAATAATCCCTGAGAGGAGCTAGTTAATGAGATCCTTTGGGGGGTGCCTTAAAGGGAGGTGTGATTCTACATCCCTGGAATATGTCTCTCTCCCTGAGCCCTTGAAGGGGGCTCCTGGGCCTGGGAGGACAGAGTTGTGGACAGGAATCTGGGACTGGGGGGTGTGGGGGCCGGCAGGAGGGCTCCCTCCAAAGTGCAGACACTGGCAGATGACTGTGATTGGCACCCCAGGGTTCTGCCTCATACCCGGATGCCTGTAGGACTTCAAGGCCTGAGGGACAGGCATGGGTTGGGGAGGAGGGTCAGAATACTCACACAGCGGCTGCTCAGCATCCCGGCGTGCTTTGGGGGTATAGAAGAAGCCCCTCTCCCCACACACCAGGTACAAGGCCTCCACCAGGTGGGAGCCACATAGGTGCTGGTTGACAAGGGCTTCACCGGCTGGCGGGCTGGACAATGCCAGCAGGACCGTCAGGGACAGGGCAGTCAACCAGGGAGCCATGGCCAAGCCCTAGGGGGCAGAGGGGAGGGCTGAGGGGGCAGGGAGAGGACCCCCAGGAGGGGCAGCCTCACTGACCCTGTCTCCCCAGCCTCCCCCATGAAGACCTTGTTGAATTAGATCCACAGAAAGAAGGGGCCTCCTCATTCTACACGGGAGGGCACTGATGTGGAGAGAAGGGGGGCGGCACTTGTCTGAAGTCACAGCGGGGCCGAGCTGTGGGACAGAGAGGGCAGCCTGACTTCTGTGAGTGAAGAAAGAGCCCCCCCCCTTCACTACCAGAGGCTTCCTCTCTCAGGGAGCCGAGAAACAGCAGCTCGGCTAGTCTCGCTGTGTGACCTGGGCAATGCCTCACGTCTCTGGGCCTCAGGCCTTCAGTGAGAGACAGGATCTTGGACTCAGAGGTCACCAAATCCCTTCTAATAGAGCCGGAAGGCAAGAGAGACGTTTCCTCCTCAGCTTCTGGAGATGAGAGGAGGCCCTGGATGAGCCTGAGGTCGGAAAGGGCCTGGGACTTGCCGGAGGAGACGCCTCCGCCTCCTCCCCCAGCCCCTAGCCCGGTCCCCTGTGGCTTAGGAAGCAGAGAGAAGACAAACGGCAGGGCATGGCTGTCAATGCTGGCTTCTGCCCACTCTGCCCGCCGCCCCCAGCCGCCCAGGACGCCTGGCCTCGAGGCTCCACGGCTCCCAGCAGACTTACTCAGAGAAGAGACAGGAGATGGAGGAAAGCGGCTGGAGTGCTGTGTCTGAGGCTGCTGCCTGACCCTGGCGCTGGCAGCTTTTAAATGGTGCTCAGTGCCCCTGCCCAAGTGGGGCTGGCCGGGCCAGCGCCCCGGCTTCTGCTAACTGGGCTCATTAGGGCTCCAGAGTGGGGCGGCTGGGGGGGTCACCAGATGGTGCGAGGCCCAGTTTGGCGTTTCCGGATCATTTCCCAGCTCTCGCCAATAACAGCCGCTCTACCTGGCTTAGCGGGGACCCTGAGGAGCGGGTGAAGCGGCTGCTAATGAGCAGGGCTAATGAAGGGCTGGTGGGCAGTGTGTGATGGATGAGCTGTCCCTCCTGACAACGCTCAATGGAGACCTAAAATTAAGGCCAAGAGGAGGTGCACGTGCCTCCCCTGCACCCCCCACCCTGCTTCCCTGAAGTTGTTGCTGACGTGAGGTGAGGAGTCAGTAAGCCAAGGCACAAGGGGGGAGCGGGGACTGCAACCTAGAACTCGGGGGCTGTCGCGTTTCTGAGGGGCTTCATCATCTGTGGGAGGAAACAGAGGACCAGAGAGAGGAGCGTCGTGCCCAGCCTCCTGCAGGGGTCAGAGTGTGACCTTATTGCTTCTGACGCCTTTAGAGAAGGGTGCTACGGGGGTGCCCTGGGCCCCTTCAGCATCTGCTGAGGGCCCCAACTCTCTCATTCCTGTTGGTAAACCCCTGGGAGCACTGAGAGGAAGAACTGAGGGGTGGTCCCAGACAGTCCTGCTCCCTCCCCCTAAGGGAACGCCCCCCCAAACCCTGACAATGCGATCCAGGGCGCGGCTCCTTAGGACTGCAAGGTGACGTCCATTCTGCAGCTGCCCTGGGCCTCCTGAGCAAGAGGGCAGACCCCTCATGGAAATGGCGAGACCAGGACCCCCACTCTCTCCCCTCCTCGGCCTAGGGATGGGCTCAAAGATGGAGCTGCTGCTCCCTCTGATGACCGTCCATCTGATGAGCTGTAGGGGGCGGTCAGGGGCTGGCCGGCCATCAAGCCCCCTTCCTGCCTACCTCTGTGCCTCCAGGGCCTGGGCACCCCTACCCCTCTCTGAGCCCTCCCAGAGGCTCCTCTCAAGTCAGAGAACTGGGACCAGCGAGGAGAGAGAGATGAAAGGAAGGTGGAATAAAGGATGGGGGTAGAGCCAGGGGAGGCAGACCCGGGCTCTTCCACCATCCCCGCAACAAGGACGATGACAGTGCACGTTTATGCAGCTCTTACATCTGCCGTCTTGTTCGGCTCTCTCAGTAAGCCCGGGAGGTCCGTGCAAAGACTGTGCTCGTTTTACGGATGAGCAAGCTGAGGGTGGCCCTGTGCCGAGGACTCTCTCCCTCTCCCCCTTCTGACTCAAACCCCACCTCGTGCAAGAGGACTAGCTGATCTTGGAGCCGTCTCTCGGCGGCTGCTTCCGATTTGCACAGAACTGTTGTAGACTGGGAGGGACTGGGATGTTTGCCTTTCTTTGTATCCCCGGTGCTTAGCAGAGTGCCTGGCACATAGTAGGCATTTAATAACTGCTAAGTGACTCAGAGAGGTTCAGGGCTAGAAAGCTAGCAAGCGTCTGAGGCAGGGTTCAAACTCAGGTCTTCCCGACCCCAGACCCCACCAATCTATCCACTGGGCCATCTGTCAGCCCAGGGTGACTCATCTTAACTTGGCTAGAATCCCCACTGGGCCACTTACTAGCCACGTCTAGGCCTCAGTTTCCCATCTGAAAAACGAAGGGGTGGGCCCACTTGATTTCTAAATCTCCTTTCAGTTCTGAATAGTGCACTCATAATGGACAGAGTTGCCTTGGAAGGTGGAAAGCTCCCTGTTGCTGGAGGGATTCTAGCCAGGCTTCTCATGCAGAAGGGCCTGCCCAGAAAGGACCGGGAAGCCTGTAATTCTATGACTGTCCACTGGAGGGCGAGGTGGGCCAGGAAGAGATGGTGTGGTACTGGGCAAAGTCGGACAGAAGCCAGCCTCAAGGGGCTGGCCACTGGGCTATGGGCTGATTCTCAGTCTGTCCTCGTCCTCCTCCCCTTGTTTGCTGGCGCTCAGAGAGAGAGCCCAAGGCCAAGGAGCCATCCCTGCAGGACACCGTTCTAGGTCGGGGGCAGGCTGGCGCATGGAGGGGCCGAGAGTATTGGGGGGCACACCTCAGGGACCAGGCCAGAGATGCGCCGACTGCCCTCCCATCATCGGCAGCTGCCCTAGAGTAAAGGAAGCCTTCAGAGCCAGGTTGCTTGTCAAGAAATAGATTTTGTCCTTTATTATCATGGTCATGGCCAGTCATGCAGGAACCCCCCCCCCCCCCCAGTGGCAGCAGCAGCAGCAGCTCTAGACCCTGGGGCCTACGTAGGCGGGGCCCTTTGGACCCAAGGAAAGTCAGAGAAGACAAATGCACACACTTACACCCACACACACAGCAGCAGCAGCAGCAACAAGGACCACAGGGACACGCTTGGGACCCCCACCCCCCCACCCACCAAGACCGACCTCACCCAAGAACCCCAATGAGTCAGGGGCCAAGGAGGCTGAGACCTCCGAGTCAGCTCCACCTCAGCCCCTCAATTTAAACAAAGGGAGGAGAAAGAGAAGGGGGCAGAGAGGGAACGGACCCGCGCGGAGGTTGGGAGCCCTGGGTCTGGACACTGGCTTGGAGGCCGGTGGTCAAGGTGTAGGAGGGGATTGCCCTGTTCCATCTCAGCCAGGGCCAAGCTCAGGGGCTAGGAAGGGTGAGCCCCAGTGCAGGCGTTCTTTAATATCTCCAGCCCCGCCCCCCAACTCCCCCACTCCTGTGGGATGGCTTCTGGAGGGCCACCACTAATACTTTCTCTCTCTTTTCTTAATGGGGCTGGGGGCTGGAGGGTAGAGCGCTAGCCAAGGTTTGTCCCAGCCTCATTCAGTGGAAAGACCCCAGCACTCAGGCCCTTGGGGCAGTTCCCTCTCCTTTCTGGGTTTCCCCTAGGCACCAGGACTGTAGTGGACTCTTAGGCCCCCACCCAGCTCTTAATTCTCAGTCCCCAGGGAAACACCTTCCTCCCAACAGCCCTGGGGTGGCCCGTAAGGGTCTGGGCCAGGATTTCAATGCAGCTCTTCAGGCTGAACGTCCGGGGTTCTCTACACCTGGGTGGACACTTACTGCCGCCCCACCCGCCGCATAACACTGCCTCCGCTGCCTTGATGCCAACCTTGGGGATCCATGAGATGGGAGCTAGGGAGATGGGCTACGTTGGGGAGACAAAGCAACATGCCAGGTTCTGGGCAGAGGTGGGGACAGACACGGGGTGAGGAGGCTGAGGGCCCAGGGCGCCTGGGCATTAGCTCATGGCATTGAGCGCGTGGGTCAGCAAGTGAAGCTCGTCCTGGATGCCTTGCAGTGAGTGCCGGATCTTCTGGGGGCTGTCCAGGACCTCTATGCCCAGCGTGTAGGGGTCAAACTTCACAGAGAAGGGGCGGCGGATTTGAGTCGAGTAGCTCCTGGGGACCACAGAGAGAGCAAAGAGCCCCGGGCACCACGGGTCAGCAGAGGGAGAGGCCAGGGCTTCATAGTGGCCCAGAGCAGACCCCGGGCAGGACGGGGAGTCACCCGCCCCCTTGTCAAGAGAAGGAAAGGAGGGGGAAAGAACACCAGCATTCACTGAGTGTCTGCTATGTGTCAGTGAAGCTAGGGGCTATTTTATCCCCATTTTACAGTGAGAAAACTGAGGCAGGCAGCGGTCAAGTGACTTGCCCAGGCTCACCCAGCCAGTAAGTGTCTGAGGTGGGGCTCTGGGCCTGGTTCTGTGGCCATTGAGCCTAGAGTCTCTGTGCATGTGGGGAAGGGTGAGGCACAACCCGAGGAGAGACAGGGGCTGCTCTGGATGGCCCTTTCCAGGTCAAGGGAAAGGATCCTTTCTGAATAGGGCTCCTTGTCCAGATTTGTCACGTGTACCCCCTGGACTCTAGGCAGCTTCCACTCCTCTGGCACCCCCTCCTCGTGGCCCTGCCCAGGCACCCCAACCTCAACACCCCCATGTGAGGGCTTGCCTTCTGGCCAGGCCCCTGTCCGGAGTCCAGGCTTCTGAGAGACCTGCTGGGGTCCTTGCCAAAGCCTACCAGCTTCCTCCTCCTCCCCCTCCCCCTTTTGGCCCCTGCTCCCACTTACCGGAGCTTGTCTTTGGCGTCGCTAAAGCTCTCCGACACGAAGTAGACTGGCTGGTAGGTTTGGTCCTGGTACGGCTGCACAGCGGCGGCCTCGGGGTCAAACTCCCGGACCTCGGGCTCCTCGGACAGGGAGTGCTAAGCAGAGGACCCAGACCGTCACCTCACCCCTCCCCTTGGACTGTGGGCAACCTTGGGCTACAGAAGGGCAGGCCAGGGACGGCGCGTCGGCGCCGGGAACATTGGAGCTGAGAGTAATCTCAGAGGCTCAGCCACTCTGGGTGGGCGAGGGGACATGGCTGGCAGGGGCCCAGGCTCTGGCCGTCAGGGCCCCTGGCTCTGTACTTGGCATCTCCCCTAGGGCCTCCCAGACCACCGATGAGTACCCAGGGAGAAGCTTCTGCTTGAAGGGAACCCATTGGCGCGGCACCTCCCTTAGAGGTGGGGGGCCTCAGAGCAGGGGAAGGACTCCCCTGCCCAAAGGGTGGGGCTGGTTTACTGAACAATGGCCCAAGTGCCCTTCTAGCCCCTTGTAGCCCCTTCCGGCTCTGTCTGCCACAGAGCAGGCCGCCTGAAGGAATAGCCAGCCAGGACTAAGCCCTGACCCCGCACAGATCACAGGGAGTCTCCTTTGGGGCCGGCTGACCGCGCCCTGGGGCAAACCCACTTTGGGAAGTCTAGTGGGAAGTGGGATTCAGCTCACAAACACTCCACGAGCTCAGTAGAGGGAAGGGGGGAGGGCGGTCTGCCACAGGGCCTCTTCCTGGTGTGACAGTGTTGATCCCCCAGGGCAGGCAAAGGCAGCAGGCCCCATCCCCTGCCTCAGTCCCTCTGCCTCTGGGGGATCCCAAGTGGCCCAACCCCCAGCTTCCCTGGGAAGTCAGAGCCCTGAGGACCCGGGCAGGTGAGGAGGGCTTCAAGGGAGGGAGGAAAGCCCCATCTGCAGAGGAGCAGGAAAGGGGCAGGCTTACGATGAGCTCCCCATAGGAGGACAGGAGGCCAGCGCCGTAGGCTTTGACAGCTCCGTTCTGTTTGCAGAGCCCGAACTCCACGGTGAACCAGTACAGCTGGAAAAGGGTGTACCCCCACACACCTGCTGGGCGCCTACTCTCCTGCCCATGAGACCCCCCACCCCCCTCACACCTGGCAGGCTCCTACTCCGCACCCTGCTGCTCTCCCCTCAGACTCAAGGCTCCCTGTAGGTTCCGCCTGCCTCCTTTATCCCCCCCCAAGTAAACCAAAAGAGGCCCTTTTTAACACTGCCTGTGCTCCCACATCTTTGACTTCTTATGCTAGAGAGGAGGGGGGGCAGCCCCCGGCCCTGTGATCCAGGAGCCTCCAGTCTGGGCCCGACAGGACTGACTTCCTCACTCTGGGAGTGTAGATATGGATTTAACTTTTCTATGAACTGATTTGCAGAACGGAAAGAGATTCTAGCTGAAATTACCTCCTCCGAAGCCAAATCCTCCCCACTCACCCACAGCAGCCTCCATGACGCAGACCTACCGTGGATAACTTCTCAATCTCCTCATCGGTGGCACCGAGGGAGGCGAGGCCAATATCCTGGGAAAGGCGAGGCAGAGGATGTCGCGGGGCCAAGCCTGAATCTGGTGCGTCTGGGTCACTGACTGCTTCTGCCCTCACCTCTGGCTGCCCCCTCCCTCCAAACATCCCTGCCCTTGGAAAAGCACCCATGCCAGGCAGGCAGTGCTGGGGCTGTGGGTGTGAAAGCCAAGAGGGGAGGACTCACCTGGGAGAACTGGGCAAAAGTCCTGTCTGCCAGCATAGGCACGTGCCCCAGGAGCTCATGACAGCAGTCCCTGTACCCAGCACCCGTGGGTGCCCGAAAGGCCAACAAAAGAGCAGACGTTGCTGGTGAGAGGGCTGTGGGCACAGCCGGTCTGTCCCTGAGACACACACTCGACCCCCATGCCTCCCCACTCTCTGCCTTTTGCTGGCTGGCCCTAGCGATGGCCACTCCCACCATCTTAACCCCTCTTTGGGATCCTCTCCCCCTCCAGGAAGCCTCTGCCTCACATTCGAGGCTCTCCACCATGGCCTTGCCTTCCCACCCCTATGTCACCTGGCTCCCTGTGCCCAGAACATCTCCTCTCTCTTAGTGCCTGACCTCCACGGAAGCCCAACCTGCCGGCCACTTCCTCCAGGGAATCTTCCCTGACCCAGTGGGCCTGTGACAAGTGTTCCCCTCAGAGGGTGGGCAGCTGGGAGTGTAGAGGCACTTACCATGTGAGGGGGTGCTTCTGTTACTTGGGGGGGGGTCTTACCCCATCCCTGCTGGGTGCCAGAGGAAGGGGGCCTGGCCTCACCTACACTTTCAACTTGCCCCAGCACCACGTTCTACTAGGCATCCCCAATGCTTAAATAATGTCTCCTGGACAAAACTGAATTCAATTGGTCCTCTTCTGCACCCCCACCCCAGATCTAGAGAAAGCATTCACTAGGTGAACTTGAGAAAGATGTATTGCTCTCTGGGCCTGGATTTCTTCTGTCACACAGAGACAATCATCCCAGCAAAAAGCTGATGAGATGGAGGTTTGGGAGGGAGAGGTACACCTTGAACGGTATGAAAGGAGGTGTTATCCTACACCCAGGGAATGTAGGTCCCTCCCTGGGCCTTAAGGAGCTCCCTTAGAATGGGGCACCCTGGGCCAGAGAGGACGGGGGTCAGTGAGGAGGCCCACAGGCTCTCCCTCAAGCCCACTCTGGGATTCAGGGACAGAAACTCCAGAGAGACTTCTGACTGGGTCTGGCGGTGGTAGGAGCCCCTACTCACGGCTCTGGGGAATGCATGGGCGAGGAGGCGTGGCGGATATATTGGGTGCACTGGAATACCCTGAAAGCCAGGCTGGACAGGAAGTCTCGGGCAGAGAGCAGGCCGGCCACCGGCCGCAGCTGGAAGCCCGTCCTCTCTGAAACAGCAGAGAGGGATAGGCTGAGAACTCAGGCCCAGCTAGCCCAGAGCCAGGGAGCCTGGGCCCTCAAGGTTTCTCATGGCCCTGCCCTTCCCTGCCCTTGATCATTTTCAAGGCCTTGCTTACCTCACACCTCTCCCAGGGCCACTGTGGCCCACACTGACCTTCCTCTTCCCCCCCTGACTCCTGTGGCTCAGATCTTCTCCTGGCCCCCTGGAAACCCTCTATTCCTGCCTCTGCACATTTTACCTCCCTCACTTGGCTAAGGTCTGTAAGGGCCTCAGGAGGCAGACTGGCCCCAACAGATGGGGAGTGGACTCAAGCCCACACACTACTTATTCTCAGGCCAGAAGACCCTTCCCTCTCTGCCCACCTGGCCCCAGCTCCCCCCCCGCCCCCCACACAAACTGCCCCCACCCTTCAGAAAGCGGGACACATCTTCGAGCTGGGGGATGCTATTCTCGCTGTAGCCACAGAACCTTTCCAGCAGCTGGAAGGCCTCCAGATGCTCCCGGCAAGCATGGGTAGGGTATAGGCTCTTCAGGGTGGTGTAGACCTCTCTCCTAGGGAAGGAGGAGAAATGGAGGGGCATGAGCCTGGGGAGCCCCAGGGAGCCCAGACATGTACGCAGGTGAGCCCTGCTTTATATAAACCTGTGGCATGTAAAACAGAATAAAAGAGCCTGCACCTGCCCCTCATCCATTTACAATGAGATTCTAATTGGCAATGAACTACCATCTTCTCTTGTAGAAGGAGAGGGAAAGCTGGGGCAATGATGATGAGACAGGAGGAAAGAATGAGGTTAATTGGGCTCTTCTCATCCATCCATCCATCCATCCATCCATCCATCCATCCATCCGTCCATCCACCCATCCATCCATCCATCCATCCATCCGTCCGTCCATCCATCCAACCACTCATCCATCCATCCACCCACCCATCCACCCATCCATCCATCCATCCACTTATCCATCTACCCATTCTTTCACCCATCCATCCATCCACCCACCCATGCATCCATTCTTCCACCCACCTATCCATCCATTCACCCATCTATTCATTCATTCATCAGATAGGCACTTTGCCACCAGGACATCCTGCTCCTTATCCCCTGCCCTGGCCAACTTCGTTACCACTTCCCCGCCCTCTTTTAAGCCATCCTTCAAGGCCCAGCTCAAGCTTCATCTTCTCCACGAAGCTGTCCCTGACCTCTCCAGTTCCCTTGAAGACCATTTGCCTTCTGGCCTCCCAGAGTGCAGTCCTCAGGGCTCAAGGCCCTCCCTGATCACCCCAGCTGCTCACGTCCTCCCACCCCAGCCCAAATGACTGTGTTTACTTATCAGCACTCATTGTGTCCACTGCAAAGATTGTAATGTTGTGTCTTTGCTCTCTGGGCTCTCCTCCACACACACACACACACACACACACACACACCCCACCCCCGCCCCGGCAGGGGTCCTGTCTTGTCTAAGCTTTGACTCTGTCCAGGTCCTAGTGCTGGACACACATCAAGCATCCCATAAATGCTGACAGTTTGCCGACCGTTCCCTGCATCTTCCACAAACTCCCTCCAGCTCCCAGAGCCAGTGACCAGCCCGGTGGCTGGCAATGACCCTGAGAGACCATCAGCCCTCAATCCCTGGCTGTTTCCAAGCTCCACTGGGAGTTTCTTTTCTCCAGCTCGCTCCCCTCCTCTTCCTCGACCTCCCCACGGGCCACGTGGCCACGTCCTTACCAGGTGGCAATCTCCTCTGCCGTATACTCCACGCGGGGGATCGGCTCTGAACTGAAAGAGCCCAGGGTTAGTCTCGTCTGCTCCACACCCCCCCCAACGATGCTCCCCAAAGCCAAGACCCCCACTAGACTAGATGGTCTCAAAGACCCTGGCCCCCTGGTCCCCCCATTAGCAAAGGCAGGGCCTGTATGGTGTTCAGAATGCCGGCATCAGCAGGCAGATGCTGCCCCATGGCGTCTCAGCTGTGTGACCCACTGTGAGCCTCTCTGTGCCACGGACAAGCCACATCCACAAAGCTGAGATGAGAGCCTGGACCCACATGTGGCCAGCCACCAACACCTCGGCACATGCCCTTTTGGGGTCTTCTTCAGCGAACCCGTGATCATTCAAATATCCCGTCTGTCTAGGAGGGCTCTCCGGCTCCGCATGTGTCAGCCTCTTCTAGGCCCCAGCCTGGCCACTTGGCCCAGGCCCCTGGCTACGACCTTGGCCTTCGGTTGGTGGTGGGAGACTCTCAGGTGCCAGGGCCCCTGGGGGTGGTGATGGGCTGGGTAGGGGAGGGGGGCTGGCTTACTGTTTGTATTGGAAAGCAATTTCTGCTATCAGCTTCCTCCGCTGGCGATAGACCTGGTCAGAAAATCCCTGCAGAGGAGGCAAGACGGAGGGAGCTGCTCAGGGCGCAGCTCTGGGCCCTGAGCCCTGAGCCTGTTGGCCATCCCTCAGGCCTCCCTGCTCTCCCCACGTGCTTCAAGGGGCAGACTCACGGGGTGGTCCAGGTCCAGGTCAGGGTCAAATTTGGTCACCAGGTGGTGGCATTGGTCCAGTTCGGAGATCTTTCTGGGAAACCAGTGAACTTCACAGAAAAGAGGCGGGATTAATTCTACAGATGCCACAGCATGGTTCTCTCTGTCCCTGCCAGGTGGATGGAGCAGGGCAGCCCAACTTGCCCAGTCAAGAATGGTCAGGATGCCGGCAGGCCCCCATCTCTATGGGACTGACCTCAGTAGCCCTGTGAGAGCTAGGGAAGGTGAGTGCCATCCTCCCCTTCTCTGCTGAGGGACAGCCTCCCCCCCCCCCCCCCCCCCCCCCCCCCCCGAGGACCCCGCGGCACAACGTCACCTGAGAAGCTTGCTCCCCCATCTGAGCCTCAGTTTCCCCACCTGCACTGCAACCCCTCCCAAGGGCTAGGGGAGGAAGGACCTCAGGGCAATACTGAAGGGAGGCCCAGCACTCAGCCAGCCACAGCCCAAGAAGTGACCAGTGGAGGGCCTGGACTGCCTGTGCCTTGGGGGAAGGACCCCTGGCCACCCCAGCCCCTGGTGCAATCTGCATGGAGCAGGGCGCCACCTCCATGGCCAGTCCAGGAAGGTGTGTGTGTGTGCAAGGGATGATGCAAAGAAATCCCCTTGGAATAGTGTACTAATAACAGAAAGATGAAGCTGTGGGCCAATAGGAGGGGTACAGAAGGAACACAAGCATTCTAGCTGGGGTCTTGTGCGGACAGTATAGCTTCTCTGTCCTTGCTCCTATGTCTTCTATCTAACCCAGAGGAAAGAAGGAAGAGAGGGAGGGAGGGAGAGAGAAAGGAAGGAAGGAAGAAGGGAGGGAGGGAGGGAAGGAAGGAAGAAAGGAAGGAAGGAAGGAAAGAAGGAAGGAAGGAAGGAGGGAGGAAGGGAGGGAGGGAGGAAGGGAGGGAGGGAGGAGGGAAGGAAGGAGGGAAGAAATGAAGGAGGGAGGGAGGAAGGGAGGGAGGGAGGGAAGGAAGGAAGGAAGGAAAGAAGGAAGGAGGGAAGGAAGGAGGGAGGGAGGGAGGGAGGGAAGGAAGGAAGGAAAGAAGGAAGGAAGGAAGTAGGGAAGGATGGAGGGAAGGAAGGAGGGAGGAAAAAAGGAAGGAAGGAGGGAGGAGGGAAGGAAGGAGGGAGGGAGGGAGAGAGGGAGCGAGGGCGCTTCCAGCTCGGGGCGGCTGGGGGCTGGGGGGGCGCGGAGGGGGGCGCAGGACTCACTCTTGTCCTCCTTGGTGCTGCGCACCTCGTCGGAGACCCTCCGGACGGAGCTGAAGAAGGCGCCCAGGTCGCTGCTGTGGACTTCACAGCGGACAAAGTATTCGAGCTCCGACGTCCCCTCCTTCGGCTTCCTGTTGGTTCGGGTCTCCAGGTGGTGGATTTTGGCTTCGAATGTCTCGTGGAGGGAAGGAGAGGAGGAAGAGGTCACTGACCACTTGTCCACCCCCTCTCACCTCTCTCCTCGGCTGACCAGGGTGGGGCCGGAGACACTTCGCCAGGCCCGCCAGCCGGACCTCAGTTTTCTCCTCTTTATAATAGGCATAATAGCCTGCCCCCGGCTCCTTCTAAAGTCTGTTGGATTAGGCCACCCTCGCTGCCTCACAGGACAGGAAATTGAGCCCCCGAAGGGCTAGAAGGCACGTGCCTGTGCCGAAGCGCACATTTGAAAGGCGCCAAGGATCCTCAAGGGGCTTCAGAAACATTCTCCCATTGGATTCCCACAACAATGCTGGGAGGTAGGTGCTATTAGTTGGCCTCATTTTACAGAGAAGGAAAACGTGGCTGGGGTAAGTTAAGGGACTTGACCAAGGACATAGCTACCACAGTGTCCAGGCTGGATTTGAACTCAGGTCCTCCTGATTCCAAGCCCCTGCACCCCTCTCTGCTTCTGGAGGGCAGTGAGATACAGAGACTAATAGCGACCCCACCCCCATTGCTCAGGCACTCCCAGGTTGACAGAGCCTTCCTCACCAATGCTCAGTGAGGGAGTACAAATTTCATTATCCCCATTTGACAAAGGGGGAAACTGAGGCTCAGAAGTGACTGACTTGCCCCCTGTAGTCTCAGAACCAGAGCACATACCCAGGTCTCTGCTGATTCTGGGACCAGGATCTTTCTACCACAGGGGACTGCCTCTCAAGGCATTGTAAAAGAATGAGCCACCCTCCCACCCAGGAAGATTTCCTCCTGCAGGGGGGTCAGAAGGGGAAGCGGGCGTTGGGTTTAGGGGAGGCCTGGGTTTGGAGTCAGAACACTCGGGCTCAAGTTCCGTCTCTGCTCTTTGTGTGACTTTGGCAGTTTCCTTCCCCCATGGGCCTCAGTCTCCCTCTCTGTAAAATGGGCAGGTCAGTGTCAGTCATGGTGGCCTCTCTTCCAGACCTGCCATTGACTAGCAGGCTGGACACAAGCCTCCCTTTGGCAGTTCTGAAGGGGCTGGGGGCTGTCCACGGCAGTGCAGAGTGAGCACAGAGTCCCCACCCCACCCCATCCAAGCTGCACCCTGCCTACCACCTGCCGGTATTCATCACATCAATCCCCAGTTAATTTGACAGCCGCTCTCCCATTAGCTGCTCTGGCCACAAACAGGGGCCGGTGGCTGACCGGCAAATGTCATTATGGCAGAGGTGGGGGGGAGAGAGACAGGGCTGATCTGCCACCGGGGTCTGCCACCTGCACAGCCCCAGGCTGAAAGATCAATCCCTGGCTGCTGCTGCCCAGCCAGACCCCATCCAGACACACATGCACTCTCTCTCTCTCTCTGTCACACACACACACACACACACACACACACACACAAACACACAGATACTCATGTACACTCACACACATACACACACACACACTCTCTCTTACACATGTGCAGACACTCTCTTGCACAGATACATATACTCACACGTGTACAGACACACACATTCTCTCACACACACACACACACTTACACACACACATACAGACACACACATACCTTTCTTCCCATCCCAATCTGCCCCCCCACACCCCCTCCCAAGCTTCCAGCACATGACTTTGCTCCAGCCCTGAGGTGGGGGTTGTCCCCGCCCTCCCCACCCTGGGCTCAGAGGATGGACGTCTGTCCAGCCCATCCTGGAGCCAGGGCAAGAAGGAGGGAAGGGTAGGTGCGAGCACTGTCATGTCCACTTACCAACAGGTCATCCAATTCCCACGAAGCCTTTTCTTCCCAGACCCACAGCAGGCAATCAGAGCCCTCAGGCCCCCACCCTCCCAGAGAGAAGCCTCAGCCAATGGAGCCTGAGACTCAGAGGAGCTGAGTTCAAATCCCAGCTCCACTGTGTGGCCTTGATCAAATAGATTCTCACCCTGGGCCTCAAATGCCTGAGAGGAAAGAGCTGCTTTGGATGACCTGCCAGTCCCTCCAATGCCTGAACTAGCCATCTTCTGGTCTGATAGCCTTCAATTAGGCAGGTCACTCACTCGGCCACGGCCTGGCACTGGCTGTGACCACGGACCTCCCACAGGCCAGGCCCCTCCCAGGCTGGTCCAAGCTCACCACAGAACTACATAACCACCCGTGCCCAGCTCCCACGGGCCAGTGAGAGCCCCTCCCCCACCCCGATCTCTCACCTCGAACACTTTCAGGGCCCTGGACAGCGATGTAGACTTGGCTGTCTTCAGGGTAAAGAAGAGGTTGAGGAGGGCCTTTCCATCCTTCTCCTCAAAGACGATGGCATCTAAGGGGTCCCCGGAGGCCTCAGCTGCCGCAGCCGCCACAGCCGCCTCCCTTTCCTTGCGAGCGTCTTCAATAAGGCTCTGCCGCCTGCCGATGAACCTCGGGGACTGGATCAGAGGCGGGGTGGGGTCAGCGGCACAGGGGCTCCATCCCTCTGCCAGCCCCCTTCTGGGACCCAGGGGGAGAAATTCACCATCTCAGCAGGCATGGGCACTGAGGGCTGGGGCACAGGCCAAGTGGGGCAGAGCTGAATCACACGTGGGGCATCCCTGGAGCCTTGGATCCTGTGGTCAGAGCTCCCCAGGTCTACCGTAGGGAAGGGTCGAGTCCTGGGGAGCTGGGCAGTACCCACTCTCCTCCCTACCCCTCAGAGTGCAGGAGGAGCCAGGAGCCAGCTGCCCTAAGGACCCAAACTGGACATTTTAGGCAAAAAAAAATCTGTTTTGGGGTCTCCACAGACTGGCTGGGCCATCTACACTGGCCAAAGCCACCAGCTGGTTCCCTGATCCCTGGCTCACTCTGGCCCCCCCAGACACTGCTTCCAAATACATTGTGTTGGGGGACCAGAGGGTCTGGGGGACCCAGGCGGGCATGACTACAGGGTGTGATTGTTAGCTTCCTAACCCTCCACTCCACGGGTTGGCCCCCTCTCCTCAGTAATCCACTCAGCCCACCTCTCTGGAGGCTCTCTGTGGGGATAGAGGTCTAAACAACGGATGCCCGCAGACGAGGCAGGAACCCCCCAGAAGGTCTGCTAACTGTTTCATGGGATGAAAGGATCGCAGGGCAGGAAGGAAACTCAGAATCATCTGGGCCCCCTCCTCATTGTGCAGAGCAGGAAACTGAGGCTCAGAGAGGTAGAAGGATTGACTGAGGTCACCCAGCTGCCCAATCCTCCCCCCTCTGCACAGCTGTGCTCCCAGGGAGTCCTCCTCCTACACTATGAAGTGCTCTCCCCAAGCAGGCGATCTCTGGTCATTGAGAGCTCCGTCGAGAGCTGGTATATCGTGTGACAAAGGGTTTGCCCAGGCAGCTCTGGGAGGTGGGTCCTTCTCTATGGAGAGTGGCAGAGAGTGGCCAAGCCTTGCCCAGGGTCACCCAGTCAGGTTCAAAGGGGTCTCTCCTCTCTGCCTCAGCACCTTGACTGAGTGAATCTACTCCAGTGTGGATCCCGTGTCCTCACCTCCCAATTTAACTAATTAACCCATGCACCAGAGAGTTTTTCTTGGCCAAACCTTTCTACCCGTCTTCCTGGGCTTGGGAAGCCAGTGCCCAGACATGGGGTGCTGGCAGGCCTCGCCCACCCAGCTGGGGAGGCCCGCAGGAGTGCCGGCAGTGGGCTGCACGGCTGATTTCAGAAGCTTGACTCAGGGCGTTGAATTTCTCCTTTTCTGTGACCAGTTGGGCATCAGGAACATGAACAGCTCTTGAGGAACCCCCCAAGAGATAAAACAGCATTTTGGCCCCAGATTTCAGCCCGTCCCTAACTGCATTAGGTGGGAAAGGGTGATGGCAGGAGTGGGAGATAGCTGCCGGCCCAGGATGCCCTCGAGGGGCAGACCTAAGCTGACCCTAGCTAGGGGAGGGCGAGTGGCGCCCGGCAGGGGACTGGCACCTCCTCCACCAGGGAGCCCTCAGAGGGCTGACCTAGCCTGCCTGGGGAAGGACTGCTCAGCCTCTCAGCAGCTACCAGCTTCAGAATGAAGATTCGGAAAAGCAATCGGGGCGTTCTCTCTGAGTCTCCTCTCTGAACATCTGGCAGCAACCCTTTGCGGGTCCTCATGCCCCAGAGGACGTCTCCTGCCCCTGTCCTCTCTGGGCCCCCTTAGAGGCGCCTCTGGTGCGGAGTCCTTCACCTCACCTGAGAGGACCTGGCCCTTGGGCCAGTCTGGAGCAGCCCCTACTCAGAATCAGGCTCTTAAGCTATGGAAGGGAAGGTACGGTTTCAATTACAGGTGGGTAAAAATAGGGGCAACAGTGGCCTTTCCCATCTCTGGATCTCCATGGCCCCATGTGTCAAAGAAGACCTTGGGTGTGCTGGGGTTTAAGAGCCCCTACCGACTGGACGTTCTGGCGTGCTGGGGGGTTATGGAGGGAGCTCTCAGCCTGGCCCCAAAGGGCTGAGAAAAGAGGCTTTAGACACACCCAGGTCCCCCAGAGACCTGTGTCTGCTGGTGGGCAGGACCAGAAGAAAGTAGTCTTTGCTATCTCCAAGATTTCAGTTGTGGGCCCCACACAAAGCAGCTGCTTCTCTGTCCTCTGCTCAGGGGAGTTAAGTAACTTCCTCCGGCTCCTCCATGGCACCCACTCACCGTGAGTCCATGGGAACATCTTTTATCCTCTCTGAGACTCAGTTTCCCCCTTTATGAAATGAGGAGCAGGTGAGCCCTTACTCATTTCTTTCATGACCTTCTGAGGCTGTAGCCTCCAGGCCCTGAAGGTGGGGAATGGGGTTGGGGGCACACAGAACAAGGGGACAGCCGTGTGAGGAGCCCAGCAAGGACTGGGTCAGTCAATGACTGAGGCCAGCCCGAGCCCCAGGTGTCCCCCCTGGCCAGCCTAGTAGCTTGCCCTGACTGGGAAGGGTTGGCCAAGGTCTCAGTCTCGGGGGCCCCTATGCCTCAGGGGTAGCCCCTCCCCGCTCACCGTGCCTGTCCTAAGGAGTGGGGGAGGGGGTCCTGGCCAGGCGCAGCAGGACAGAGAAACCCTGGGCTCAGGAGCTTCCCATCACGTTTAGAAAAATCACCCCTTAACTCAGTACAGCCAGCACTTCTGTGATGGGTGCCAGGCCCAGTGCTGGCTGCTGGGCACACCAAGCCCTTGCCTGTCTCAGATCCCAGGCTTGGAATACAAGAAGAGTGCCCACCTCTACTACTCCTTCTCACTCCCCAGACCCTAAAAGCTGGTGGTCCCAAAATCATCACCTCCAATCAGCAGATGGGGAAACTGAGGCCCTTACAAGCCATGCCAGCCTTGGGAAGTTCAGGGCTCTGCCCACTGCACCACCCGGCTTCCAGGAGTCCTTCACCTATACAGCCGGGATTGAAGGGCTGGCATTCAGGACACTGGGGTTCCAGCCCCAGTCCTGCCTCTGCCTCAGAGCTGTTCCCTTCTCCTGTCTGGGCCTTGGTTTCCTTCTCTGTAAAATGGGGGGGATGAGACAAGTCAACCTCTAAGGTCCCTTCTAGCTGATCTATATAGTCTGGGCTTTTTGGGGCACACGCACACACACACACACACACACACACACACACACACAACACGCACACACATGAGATGTGACAAATACACAGACTCCAGACCCCAGGGCTGTCCCCTCACCACAATGCACACAATCACACAGACACACCCAGGCCCAGAGAGACACCCTCTGACCCATCGTACACGGCCAGGCCCCCTGGGTCCCTAGGAGAGGGACCTGGACGCAGCAGGGGGAAAGAAAGGATTAGCCTTTGGCCCCTCAGGCTCCCCATGCCAGGGTGGGATGGGCCAGGGACCAGAGCAGCCCGGGAGATAGGGACCCTCCCCAGGAGCTGGGCTGTAGCCCTTACCATAATGGCCTCCGCCTGCTTGGAATCCAGCTCGGACACAGCCCTGCGGAAGCCCTTGGCCGGAGGAGCGGAGGTGTTTGGAGTGGGCATCGTGCCAGCGGGCTGTCCGTCTCTCGTCCGGGGTCTCCGCTGTCGACTCCCCTCTCCCAGGCAGCCTCTTATAGGCAGGGCTGACGTCAAAGCCCCTTTCAGATCCCCCGCTGGCTCCCCCCCCCCGCCACCTCTATGCCCCCCCTCCCTCCCCGGCTCTCTGGTTCTGCACTGCCTGAGGGAGGAAGGAGGAGGGGGCCAGGGATGAGAACAGGCTCTGTTCTATTAAATCTAATTGCTCCCAAGATTGCAGACACTCGCCTTTGCAAAACGAGTTATCTGCTCCTCCACCATCACCTCTGAATCATCCCCTCGCCCTGGAGAAAGCTGAACGAGTCAGGGCGGGGGCAGCGGCCCGTGACTGCCAGGCTGACCCTCCCAGGGGCTGAGCGGCGGCGTCTCTCCTCTCCCCAGGGCCCCCCAAAGACAGGGCCTGGGCTTCTGCTCCCAGACAGGCTCGGGACCAGACATGGGAGGCCTGATACCTAGGCCGAGGGGATTGGTGCCACTTCCCTAGAAGGAAAGGGTGGAGGTGTCTCTGTAGACCCTTTTGGACATTGGGGTCTTGAGCTTGAACACTCTGGGCCTCAGTTTCCTTCTCTTAACTCCTGCCCCTCCTGGCTCCCATCCCCAGTGCCCTCCCCTGCAAGACGTGAGGACATAGGCTCCCTTTCCAAGAGCATGGCCCTACCAGGTAGGAGAGACAAAGGTTATTCACTATTGCCATGTTCTAGACCAGCTCAGACATGCCAGGTGACTTCCCTAGGGTCACCCAGCTCGTGGGTTTCCAGCCCTGGCCAAGGCTCTCCCACGGCGCCATGTGGAATCCCCGAGACTCCACTCAGGGAAGTGGGAGGCATGGCCCCATGCTGGAAATGACGAGGTCTGCCTTCGTGTCTCAGCCCTCACTCTTCTGCTGTGTGGCACTGAACCAGACCTCGTCCTCCCCAGAGCCCCACCTTCCACAAAGGGGCTGATGGTCCCGACACTTTCGCTCCCAGGGTTCGAGGGTGAAGGGGAACTGCGGCCGTCTCTCTGGGCTTAGTCTCCCTGCCCTGTTCATCTCCATCCTTCTCTGGCCCTTACACTCATGGGATCCTACGCCCTGCCTGCCTACGAGGGGAGAGACCCAGGGAGGGTCCGCGCCAAGCCAGCTCGGGCCCTGTCTTCTCTGAGGCACTGAATGTGATTCGGCTCAGAAAGATGAGAGCCAATGAGCGGATGACCATGTCTCCTGGGAGTACCCCCGCCATGCAGGGCGGGCACCACCTGACCCAGCTGTCCCTCAGAAGGCTTCCCCTCCCTCTGCTGACCACATGTCTTCCCTTGAAGGACCGGTCACCGACCACACCTGGGCAACGGGAGGGCAAGGAGGAGGCCCGGCCAGAACATGATGACCGTGTGAACACGACGCCCAGCACGCGGGGGACCCCCAGCAGGACAGAACTCCTCTGGTCACTCTGACACACACACACACACACACACACACACACACACACACACACATACACATGCTGTTCTCAATCCCATCCTGGCCCTAAAAGGCCTCTGGGCATAGCAAGGCTGTGCACACAGCAGGAATTGGATGGAACTCATTCCATGCCTGGGGTCTTGTGCATTGTCCAGCTCCCCACCCGAGGCGGGACTTCCAACCTCCCTAATCCAGTGAAAAGCACAGGTCTGCCAAATGAAAGACCTCTGGAAAGAAAAAGAGGGAGGAGATGTGGGCGGGAGTCCAGGGATCTGGGTGCGAGGGTGGGCTCTGCCCTCACCTCTCTGTGCCTCTCTATAAGATGGAAGAGTTCAGACTCAATGATCTCTAAGCATCCTCCTGGCTCTGAGCTTCTGGGAACCTTTGGTCTCATAGCATTTTTATTTGCACTTTTGGGGTGTGTCTGCCTATGTGTCTGTGTGTATGTTTGCGTGTCTGTGTGTGTCTGTCTGTCTGTATGTCTGCGTGTTTGTATGTCTGTGCGTCTGTCTGTATGTCTGTGTGTCTGTCTGTGTGTCTGTCTATGTGTCTGTGTGTCTGTGTCTGTGTCTGTCTGTATATCTGTGTACCAGTGTGTATGTCGGTGTGTCTGTCTGCCTGTGTGTGTCTGTCTGTATGTCTGTGTGTCTTTATATCTGTGTGTCTGTATGTCTGTCTGTCTATGTGTCTGTGTGTCTGTGTCTGCGTCTGTCTGTATGTCTGTGTACCAGTGTGTATGTCTGTATGTTTGTGTGTCTGTCTGTATGTCTGTGTGTCTGTCTATGTGTCTGTGTGTCTGTGTCTGTGTCTTTCTGTATGTCTGTGTACCAGTGTGTATGTTGGTGTGTCTGTCTGCCTGTGTGTATGTCTGTATGTCTGTGTGTCTGTCTGTATGTCAGTGTGCCTGTATGTCTGCGTGTGTGTGCACACATGACCTGAGAGCAGGGGAGTCAGATCCTCGTCCTAGGTCTGTTCACACGGGGGGATCTCAGGCAGCCCCTTCCCCTCTGCAGGACAGTGGGGTTGGGGGACGGGGTCCTCAGGATCCCCTCCAGCTCAGACCCTCCAATCGGCAGGATAAGGATGAAGCTGGCATGGGGGTCGGGGCATGGGTGCCGTGGCCAGCCCCCTGCCCCCCAGTCCCCAGGTGGGTCTGTCCTGCTAAGCGGTTTGCTCAGTCCCGATGCGGCTGGTAATATCTCCTAAATACCAGGCTGTGGAAATGCCGCCCGGCCGGCAGACAGCCGCGGGCTGTGGATTTAACCTTTTGCCAAATGCCTTCCATGGAGACAAATGTTGTTTTTAGTCATTTCTCAGACTGAGCCCGAGCCCTTGCGGGGGGAGGCAGCTTAGGGAGATGAGCTTCCCATGCGCCTCCCCTGAGCGGTGCCCGTTGGAGCCTTGCGGGGCTGAGGCAGTCCACAGAGCAGCCCACGCACTCGGCTTTAGAATGCCCACCACTGCCCAGGAGGCGAGGCCTCTAGGGGGCGCCACAGTGCACAGAGAGCCAGACCAGGAGTCAGGAGGACCTGAGTTCAAATACTGCTTCAGATTCTTCCTCCCTGTGCAACCCCGGGCAAATCACTTCACCTCTGCCTGCCTCAATTTTTCTCGTCTATAAAATGGGGTTAAAACTGGCACCTGCTTCACAAGATTGTTGCGAGGATCGAGAATATTTGCAAAGAGCCTGGCCTCGCCTTCCACATACTAGGTGCTTTATAAATGCTTCTTTCCTTCCCTCCACAAGGTGCGCTTTCTCGAGTCATGCGGTGGGAAAGAGCCCCACTTGGAGCCAAGAGAATCCTGCGTTCAAATTCCAACTCCCTTGCTTCCTAGCTATATACTAGTGAGCAGATTTCCCGGCTCTCTGCCAAAGCTCACCAAGTCCAGGAAGCCTTCCTAGTCTAGACTGAGAAACGAAAAGTAAGAATCACATCCAGGAGGATTTTGAGGGGATTCTTGCTCAGATTAACATCTTGGCAGAGGCTTCCTGCTTCCAGTGCAGGGGTCTGTGGAAGCTGTGAATTGGGAAACACAGCAAGGCAGAGGAGAGTGCTGGAGGGAGGGAGGAAGGGAGGGAGGGAGGGAAGGAGGAAGGCAGGGAGGGAGGGAAGGAGGGAGGAAGGGGGGGAGTCTGACAGGGAGGGAGGAAAAGGAAGGAGCGAAGGAGAGGCTGAGGCAGACTCACTCTCAATCCAAGAGAGGGGTGGAGGGAGCAACCTCCCTTTCCCACCAGCTACTAGTCCTTCTCCCTTCCGGGGGGGGGGGGGGGGGGGGGGGGGAGGGGATCAGTGGAATAGAGTAGACAAAAGCAATTCAGGAACAATAGAACTCAATAACCCAGGATTTGATAAACTGAAAAATCTGTTACTTAGGAAAGAACTCCCTGTTTGATACAAACTGCTGAGAAAACTGGAAAGCAGCCTGGCAGAAATGAGGCTTAGACCAGCAGCTTATACCACATTCCATAATATATTCTAAATGGACACATGACTTTAATATGAAAGTTCATACTATTGAAAGAAAGTTAGAAAAGAAACAGATGGTACATCTCTCACAGCTCTGGATAGGAAATGTATTCTTAATCAAAAAGAGATAGAGGCCATTAGAAAAGATAAAATAGAGAACTTTGATTGCTTGAAACTGAAAAGTTTCTGCACAGATGACATCAATGCACCTAGGATAAGAAGGGATAAGAAGAGAAGTGGTCAAGTGGGGGAAAAATATTTGTATCAAATGTCTCTGATAACAGTTTAGTATCCAAGATCTCTATCTACTATCTATCTATCTATCTATCTATCTACTATCTATCTATCTATCTATCTATCTATCTATCTGTCTATCTATCTATCTATCTATCTATCTACTATCTATCTATCTATCTATCTATCTATCTATCTATCTATCTATCTA